CCCAGCCCCAGGCCAGACTGCACAGCCCAAGTTCTAGCTCAAAAATAAATCCCCTTAACTTCTGTCTATAAAAACCAGTGGGGGTTGGGGCAGTGGAGGAAACTGCCAGAATTTCAGCAGACTCTACTTAAAGGGCCAGCATGATCATAGAACTTGGGTAAACCCACCCACTCTGGGATTCAGCTGGAAGGGCACCAGTCACAGACAAGGAGTAGGTGAAGTGACTGGAAATGGGGCAAGCGCCAAGAAAACCTCCAGAAGCCAGGCAGAAGCACTGTTGCCTCTCCAACCCCTCCCCCTACACAGAGTCACAAAGCCATGAAGCGGGTTGCCCTGTCCTGGGGATCACCTAAGGGTTCTTCGCCCCACATAATTTACAGGTGCCTTTTCTACGATAGGCCATGCTACTAAGACAGGCAGTCAAAGCAACTCTACCTGCTTTGACTCAGAAACAAACACAGAAAGGCTGCCAAATTGAGAAGACAAAAAAAATAAGGCCCAAATGAAAGAACAGAACAAAACCCCAGAAAAAGAACTAAATGAAATGGAAATAATCTATCAGATGCAGAGTTCAAAACACCAGTGATCAGGACACTCAAAGAACTCACTGAGGATGACAACAAAATAATAAAAGACCCAAGAAGAAATGAAGGTTATACTAAGTGAAATAAAGAAAAACCTACAGGGAACCATCAGTGGAGGGGATAAAGCCAAGATTCAAAGCAACAATTTGGAACATAAGGGAGAAGTAAGCATTCAACCAGAACAGCAAGAAAAAAAGAATTAAAAAAAACAAGGATAGTATTAGGTGCCTCTGGGACACCTCCAAACATACCAACATCTGAATCATAGGGAATGCCAGGAGAAGAGGAAGAGCAAGAAATTGAAAACTTGCTCTTTTTCATTATTTTCTTTTTCATTATTTGAAAAAATAATGAAAGAAAACTTCCCTAATTTGGAGAAGGATATATACATACAAGTCCAGGAAGCACAGAGAGTCCCAAAACAAATTGGACCTAAAGAGGACCACCAAGACACATCATAATTAAAATGCCAAAGGTTAAAGATAAAGCAGCAAGAGAAAAGCTGAGTTAGCTACAAAGGAGTCTCCTTAAGCCTGTCAGCTGATTTCTCAAAAGAAATTTTGCAGGCAAGGAGGGACTCACAAGAAGTATTCAAAGTGAGGAAAAGCAAGGACCTGTAACCTACATTACTTTATCCAGCAAAGCTACCATTTACAGTGGAAGGGCAGATAAAGTGCTTCCCAGACAAGGTATTCATCACCACTAAGTCATTATTACATGAAATGTTAAAGGGACTTATTTAAGAAAAAAAAGATCAAAACTATGAACACTAAAATGGCAACAAATGCGTAACTATCAACAACTGAATCTAAAAAAACAAACCAAGCAAACTACCAAAACAGGAACAGAATCATAGATATGGAGATCACATGGAGGGTTACTGGCTGGGAGGGAGAAAGGGGAGAATGGGGGGAAAGGTGCAGGGATTAAGAAGTATGAATGGTAGGTACAAAACAGACAGGGGGATGAAGTAAAGGAGAGGATTCCTGAAGGGAATGGGGGTACTGGGAGGAGGGGGACAAAGGGGGAGAAACTGTGACAACTGTAATAGCATAATCAAAATATATTTTAAAAAATAAATAAAAACAATACATAAGCATACATGTTATTAAGAAGTTTAAAGGAGCGACAATTTTCTAAAACACTAGAAACATCAAATATTTGTACTTGACTCATCAAATCTTATACTCACTAAACTTACATTGTAGTGTGTATTAATCTATTCTAAATTAGTAGTCATAATGGCAAAAATAACAGCTTCTAAAATTGTTTTTCAAGATTTGTCCATGTTTTAATCATAGGAATGCTTCAAACAAGAGTAAATGTACAAAATAATCACTTGATTCTGACACACAAACCATCTGTTTCAAATTAATCGTCGTTACTTATATATAAATAGCCTAGATTCAAGGGTAGGCCTGGAAAGTGAGTAACTAGCTAATATTAAAACTACTCTTTCTTTCCAAAATTCTACCTCCTCCACGTCTTCTTCAGCTTCACCTCGAATTTCCTGAGCTGAAAGTCAAATCTCGCTTCTCCTCTATACCCCCGTTCATCGATTAGAGACTTTAGCACTCTAATTCCTGACTTGGTTGTGCAGAAGACTATTGTTTCCCACAGCAGGTTGTGAGCAACTGGTAAGCAAGGTCTGCATCAGATTTACCTTCGTTTCCTTGTTACAATACTGCTAATGCAACACCCAGTACCTGTTAGTGTTTTTTAAGCATTGTGTATATATTAGTGTTCCATAAACTGCTTTGATTTAATATTCCAGTTTTATACACTTTCTTGTGACAATACTTCCTCAGCTAATTCACTGATTTTAACAGTGCTTCATACTTAGACTACACGTGAAATTTAAACATTTACATCTTATAACTGCACAATTTAATACTCAAAGATGTATACTCATTACAAATAAGTTGGTGAATTTACTGTTGCTTTATTAACCGTTAAAATGTTTTTTAATCTTAGTTTTTGATTCTCAAATCCTATACAGTAGGAAGTAAATTTATCCACGTTGTTGCATGTATTCATTGGCTGTTCACTTTTATTGCTCAGTAGTATTCTACTATATGGATATACCACAATGTTTACATTCTCTTGTTAATCAATGTTTGGGTTGTTTCCAGTTTTGAGATACTACAAATGAAGCTGCTATAAATCTTCATGTACCAGTCTTTGGATAAACATACATTTTCTCATCTGTTGGGTAAACACCTAGGAGTGGAATGGCTGGGTCCTATAATTAGGTGCATGTTTAACTTTTAAAGAAATTATCAAACTGTTCTCCAAAATGGATGTCCATTAATTACAACTTCACCATCAGTGTGAGGTCCAGTTCCTCCATATCTTTGCTAAACCTTGCAATAGTTTTTCTTTTAATTGTAGCTATTATAGTGGCTGTGGAATACTATCTTATGGTTTTTTAAAAATCTCTATTTACTGATGGGGGGGAAGGGGAGGGAGAGAAAGAGACATTGATTTGTCGTTCCACTTATTTATGCATTCATTGGCTGCTTCTTGTATATGCCCTGACCAGGGATTAAACCTGTGACCTTGGTGTATTGGGGACAATGCTCTAATCAAGTGAGCTACCCAGCCAGGGCTCATCAAGGTTTTAATTTGCATTTCACTAACATCCAGTGAAGTTCAGCATCTTTTCAAATCATATGTCTTCCTCAATGAAATGACTGTTCAAATCTATTGATTACTTTGAATTGGGTTATTTTCTTTCTGTGGAGTTGTAAGACTCCTTTATTCTAGACGTACATCTGTACTTTTAAAAGAGAAAGGCAACTGCTTTAGATAACAATGCTTTGTTATAATATGAGGTCTATCTATACTTGAAATAATCCTTATAATAAGGGCAGGCATTATCTCCATAAGCCTCAGATACCAAGTTTTCCCATGTCTGACAGGTAGTCAGCCAGCCAAGTAGAAGGAGAAAACACACTAATTTTCTCGACATTCTTCTTAACCCCTCCTAATTTTAGGAATCTCTTAGCAATTAGTAGTAGCAGATAAGCAACTGGATCATGTAAATAATAACCAGTCTTCCTCCTTTTTTCTTTTAAGCAGATTTTTTAAAAGCAGTTAGCAAGTAGTAACATTATTAATAAATCCTTCTATATCTTTTTTAATCCTCACCTGAGGACACGGTTTCATTGATTTTAGAGAGAGAGGATGGGAGAGACAGAGAGGGAGAGAGACAGAGAGAGAAAAAACCAAACACCTGATATGATGAACTCTGATCTGCCCTGGCTGGTGTGCTTCGATCCTGGCTGGACTGAGCACTGGCCTGTGAACCAAAGGGTGGCATGTTCGATTCCCTGTCAGGGCACATGCCTGGGTTGAGGGCCAGGCCCCCCGGTGACAGGCACATGAGAAGCAACCACACATGACGTTTCTCTCCCTCTCGTTCTCTCTCCCATCCCGTCTAAATAAATAAATAAATAAAATCTTTAAAAAAAGAACAGAAACTTTGATCTGGTTGCCCCCCACACGCACCCTGACCAGGGGTCAAACCCGCCACGTTTCTGGCCTACGAGATGACACTCCAGCCAACTGAGCCGCAGGCCAAGGCTCCTTCTGCATTTTCACTAGAGTTCCCTGTCCCTTAGACTGAACCCTGTTGTTTACACGAATGCTTCCCTTATCGGACTAATAAAGCAAACCACCTAGTGCAGGGCCTGGTGTAGGCATACTGTTGTTCTAGTCTCCTTGATTTTCTCCTCCCCTGTTAATTCCCATCCAGGTGTTTTCCCTTCAATCCCCTCCTCCGCCCTTTCCCGCACCCCACATCGCACCTCTGCTGGGATTTATCTGCTGATGATCCCCAGTGAGATTCAGTCGGTTACAGTCTATTTGGTGACTCTATAAATCACCTACCAAACTTCCTCAAAGACAACAAAAGGCAGATGGTGAAACTCTGAAACTCAGAACAGCACAGACTGCTGAGTGAAAAAGTAAAACCTTTCTTTGCAGGGGTGTCCAACCTGTGGCTTATGGGCTGCAACCCAGGACGGCTGTGAATTCGGCCCAACGCAAAATCGTAAATTTACTTAAAACATTAGGAGATTTTTTTCTGATTACATGTCACAATGTAATTAATCTGTGATCCAAGACAACTCTTCTTCTTCCAGTGTGGTGCAGACCCCAAAAGGTTGGACACCCCTGTAAGTATCCATGTAAATAAGTACTCTCTGCCGGAACAAAAGCAGACACAAAATTATTTTTAAACGTTACCATTTAAGACTTCAGTCTCTCCAGTAATGCAGGAATCTCCAAGGTATCTTTCCCAAATAAGAGCCAATCTGGGGAAGCTCTGTGGCTGAATAAGCATCCTCCCCAAAAGTAACAGATATAGGAAAAAAAAGTATGCAGAACCAAATCCACTCATTTTAAACCATGGAGAGGAAACACATTTAAGCTCCTTTAATATCTTTTTACATATAAAGAATAATTTCATACATTTTAAAAATTTTCATGAGACATATTTATCCCTCAGGAACGCTTCCGTGTCAGACACAAACTTGAAGGCAACTCTTCTAGTGCAGCGTTAAGTGAGAAGAACAGCCGAGTGTGCCGGCGATCTCCGACATCGTACCCGGGTACCGGCAAGCGTAGGTTAGAAGCATCTCATGGAAGCGATTATGACCCAATTAACCATGTTCCCCAAATCAGAGTGGTTCTCATCAGACGCTGAATACTAAGCTTATTTTGACACGGCCTTTAAAAAGGCCTCATCGAAAGAGTACGTTTCCTCTGGAGGGAAAAAAGGGGAATTCTGTCGTATTAAAGGTAGTATCTATCGATGAAAAATTCAACGACTGGCTTCAAATCCATTTTTAATAACATAAAAGATGTGACCTTTATTGTATTTTAAAGAAAATAAAGATAGTATGACACAAATTTATTTCTAAAGCCACAATAAAACACTTAATACATACAAAAGTGTAAAATGACAGATGCCTTTTCAATAAAGATACCAGACACAACATTTACTGACCAGAGAAAACAGAGAAGTGTTTACTGACTCGGTCCTGACCCCAGGTCACCTTATTGAACGATACATCATGAAATCGATAGTTGTACATCGAGGAAATTTACCAATGGAGCTCTCCTCCACTGGAGTGTATATTTTAATCTGTCTCATGTGGGTGTCTCTTCCGTTTTGGTGATTGGCTAGAACAGCGATCTGTATCATGAATGTGCGAGTTGGCTTCTTATGATTATCGGTTAAGGGAACGTGAATCCAGCCACTTGGTTCCACCAATTCGAGTTGCTGCCAGGAAAAGAAAAGTCAGATTAGATTTCCACCCAATGAACGTAATGTATTACAATGAACGTATTCGAAAGCTGACTTAGTTGTGCGTGGCGTCAGACGGTGCCAGGCTGCTCAGGGTGGTCACTCTGTAAGTTGTGCAAATGTCTAACCACTGTGTCGTACACCTGACACTAGTATAATACTGTATGTCAACTGTAATTTAAAAATGGCAAAAAGTTTTAAATAAAATTAAAAAATTAAGTTGACTTAAAAACTGACCTCTTGGCTCACTGAGAGAATGACAACAGGATAGTCACTATTACCAGTTACTGGACACTCAGACCACGGTCTGTTTTCCCAGGCACTAAGCACATGACACGTGCCATCTTGATACTAGTCTCTGTGTCAGAGTCAGACACGTACAAATGTATACATCCAATCAAAGACCATGCTGATACAAGCAGGAAAAGAATCTCAGGTTTCTAAAATATTTCAAGAAACATGCCTCCAAACTCATATAACAACCAGATTCTATATAAATTACAAGGACATTAACAAAAGAAAATGAGTCATTAAATATGCATCAAACAAACCTTTCTTTCTGAACATGGTTAATAAGTGATCTATTTATCTATTCTAGATGATGATAAAAACCTAAAATCTAGATTTTAAATGTTTTTAAATAAGAAATGCTAGATAATTTTTTTAGTTTTTAATTTTATTTTAAACAAGAGCCCAAACTGTCCTTACTTAACAAGGAAAGGAAAATCGTAAGTCAAAAGGTAAACCAAAGTTTCTACACATTTTCCTAAAGTTATAAAGCAGTTTAAAAAACCACTGATTTTTACATTATCTTAATCACTGGACAAAAGCGAACCACAGACATTACAGCAAATACAGGTTTATCTTATCAACACAATCAAAGGGCAAGGAGCGTCAGAGACTCTAAACTGGGGCCCCACGAGTTACCCCAGAAAAACAACTGAACGAATGCCGCCATGTCTTCTGTTGCTCCCCCTTTTTTCTTCTTTCATTCTTTTCATAACTTCCTTTTCTTTCCTTCTTTATGCTTTCTCTCTTTCCATCTTTTCTATAAAGAAAGAGGGTAGGCAGAGATGGAGCAAGAGAACTATCACCTAAGGTAGCTGGTGTTTAAGACTAAAGGATTTCCCCCTTTTAACTATAAAATAAAATAACTGAATCTCTACCCCCACGGTGTTTTGATCAGTGAGATTTTATGAACTTCATTAGCACTAACTCAAAATGAGTACATCAGAAATGGGGTTTCTATCATTAACCTTTCACTCATTCGGGCCACAAACAGTCACTGAGTACACGCAAGCAGGCGTCATTTCTGCCTGCCCTGTGCACCAGCGGTGTCAAACTCATGTTCACGGGGGGGGCACATCAGCCTCGAGGTTGTCTTCAAAGGGCCAAGTGTACTTTCAACTCCTTAACAGTTAAGGAGCAGTTACATTTACAGTCCCAAAATGATTTCGGCCCTTTGAAGGCAACCTCGAGGCTGATGTGGCCCCAGTGACCAGTGAGTGTGACACCCCTGCTCTGGAAAAGCAGAGAAACAGCTTTCTCTAGAAGCTGGAAAAGGCCAGAAACAGTTCTCCCCAAGAAGCTCCAGGAAAGGAGGCACCTGCTGCCACCTCGGTTTTAACCCTCGGCCCCGGTTTGGACTTCTCACTTCCAGACTGTGAGACACCGAACGTGTGTTGTTTCAAGCCACTAAGCGCGAGGCAATCGGTTATAGCAGCAAGAAGAAATATTACAATAGATGTACACGGGAGTTCAGAGGAGGGAGAAAGTACTTCTGGTTGAAATGACCTTTCCTCCAGGTAAATGCACAATAATGAACAAAAAGTAAGACCAAGATTCTATATTCAGCTCCTTACTAATACACTGTTTTTGACAAATTTAACCATTCTTTCTAACAGATGCAAAGTTACTTTTAGAGTACTTATAATTTACATGCCTCAGTGCACAAAAAGCTGTAATAAGATTTTAGAACATGAATGATTTTGCCCACAATATACCCAGAATTATAAATGTAGTAAACTACTCAATAAATACAATTAATCCCCGGTTTCTGTAGGACACATCATGAAGTTTACTGACCGCAATCACTAAAAGCATGTTACAAAGCACATACAGCTGATAACGCCCCTCAGGCAGCTTCGCCGTCGACCACACTGCCCAGGGTCATAAACACCAAGTCTCGAATCTGCTTCGCTTCTATTTTGCCCAGTTTAAAATTCTCATAGTCATCTCTAAAATGTTATTAGAAACTTATTTCATAGATATAAAAACCTCAAGTACACAAAGTATGTATACATTTAATTTTTTGTAAATGGTTGATTACAAGATTAACATATTTTAAGCCAAAAAATTATTTATATTATTTTTGTATTTTAAACAGAAAATTAACAAAAGGCCAAAATTTCACCAAAATAACTTTCTTGTTTTCTCTCCCATTTCTGGTTTGGACCTCAGTAAACGAAAATTTCACCACCATTAACATACAATTTTTTGCCCTGGCCAGTATGGCTCAGTTGGTTGAAGCGAGGTCCCATTATCAAGGTGTTGCGGAGCCCAGTCCTGGTCAGGGCACACACCTGGGCTGCGGCTCCGAAGCCCAGTCCAGATGTGGGTGGGTGGGCATGTGCGACCCCGGGTCAGGATGGTACAGTCCCTGCTTGGGCACCGGTCCCCGGGCCGGACGCATGTGAGAGGCAACCAGTCAATGCTTCTCCCTCAAATTGATGTTTCTCACCCTTCCTCTCTAAAAACAATTTTAAAAAAATGTTCTTGGGTGAGGATTTTAAAAAAAGAAAGCTTTTTCTGTATTCCCCCTTGTTCTTTCTTTCTGCCATCTCCCACGTTTGGCTCCTTTCTCCATATAGTCACTCACTTGAAAAGTTTTGGGTTTTCTTTAAATTTTTCACCTGCTAGTTATCTGCATCCCATTCCAATCTTGTCAAAGTCACCAGTGACCACCCACCTTGCCCAATCAACTCCTTCTAGGAACAGTTCTTTATACAGCTTACTACTGTGTTCTGGATTTTATCTAATAACGTGCCTGACCAAGACCTATTTCTGTTTTAAATGCTAAGGCTTTTAAAGCTTTACGTAATATTGTAGCTTAAATATAATTTTGTATACAAAAGTACATAACATGGTTTACTAAAGCTAGTAAAGGTTGTAAATGACAAGAAAAATAACTGGTAATTCAGTAAAGATCGATAAATTTAAAGATTAATAAAGTGAAGACTTATTAATGCTAAGCTAATAGGACACTTGAAATTGTCCTCCATAACTGTATCCAGACCTGTGACTTCAAGTACCTCTAGTGGATATTTGTCGATGATTTAAAATTGTGTATCTCCTTCTTCATAGGCCACTTCTGAAGGGACCAGCAGGAGGAGAGCACAGATTTCTAGCTGATGCTCACCACTGCTTGCCTCTTCAGCCTCACCTTGAATGGTCTTCCACCTACTTTAGTTATATAATCTGCAACAGTGTGAAAATAAATTTATACTACGAAGGAAGCTGATTCTGAAAATACTCCAAAGATCAAGAGATGACAAAGAGATTGTGTGCAGGTATGCAAAAACAATTTTTAATTAACTGAAATTAAATGAATTGCTTGGAAAAAAGAACTACGACTCCTACGGGTCAGTTCTAAGAGGAACCTTCTCATGCCGCCTATGGCAGCTTTGTAACAAGTGACCTTAGCTCAGCCTAAACTGCACTTCCCAGGAGTCCCTTCCTCACATGTTTCTGGTGGCGGGGGGCACAAAATATTTTCAGACAAGACTGGGAGCGCAGAAGTGAAGCAGCAGCCTCGCCTGTGGACTTCGAGCTCCAGCATCAGGCGTGCAAACAGCTTCACAAATTATTTAAGCAACTCCTACTGGTGTAAGGCAAAATCCCTGTAACAAACCCCTTCTTACACGCTGCCACGCCCCCCCCCCCCCACTGCAAGGTCGCTGAGCTGGATGTCCAGAAAGGATGTTTCCAAGAAGAAAACGTGGAACCAAGGGAGTATATGTACTGCAGCACGAGATATTTTGAGTCTGTTAGAGAATTTAGGAATATATTGATAACTGATAACATTTTAGAAATTAAGGAAAAATGAGGCAACTGTTAATTACAGAAAAATAAGGTTATGTTTAAAAAGTAAATTTAAGCATAGAACATGATATAAATCAGGTATAAATAATATTTATGTGGTTATAATAATGAAACCGTACATAATGATTTCAGCAAACACCATGAAAAGCTACACTAGGCAAATGAAGAGAAGTACACTGGAGAAGAAACGAGATTTGAGAGCCAAATCTATGTTTCATAGCCAGGTATCGTTAGATCACATCTTTAAATACAGGTAGGTACAGACATGCTATGTAGAATCGTACTTATCTGTGACAGACATCTGTTCCCTGTGTTACTTGGCAGGGAATGCAAGTAAGGCCAAAGCAACTAAGGGCACTGCCCCTCAGGAGTGGGAGGGGATATCGGAGAGGGGAGAAGGGCTGTTGTTACAGGTGCTACTGCAGTCCTCCCAGACTTTTAACCTGTGCACATGTTTTACTGTAGCAAAAATATGCATGCATGATAAAAATATTTTTAAAAACTAAGGAAATCATCACAAAAAGTTAGAGCCATGGTCAACTATAAGAGGTAGGAAAAGGACCGTGATGGGGAAGGAAGAGGGTATACTCCCAATTCTGGGATGCTCATAAAGTCCCACTTTACACTAAAAAGTTGCACACACAGAAAAGCCGCATGTGTGTTTCATGGCCCATGGGGAGGAGGGGTGCTGAGCACCCAGAAGCAGCAAGCCCCCAGCCCCCAGCCGCAGAACTCCGCATGCTGGGGGCGAGGCTGTCTCCTCCAAGTCCTGGACAGTCCGGGTAAATTACGATCCGCTGTTAAATGGGCTCTAAAATATAAATAAATGTATATTTCCTTTACACTTCACACTAATTTGTTTTATCCTAGGACAA